CTACGACATTGCCTGCCCCCTCGAACGCCTCATGTGCAAGCAATAGCAGCACTACAGTGTCGTTCACCATGCATACGATGTTCGTTAGGGAATACATGAATATCATGGCCGATATTACGGTCACCTGTTCCCTCAACTTCAGCCAACGTATGGTTGCCAGCAGCACGAGGGCAAGTTCCTGTGGCGTCATTTTCTGCGCTGCAAACCAAAAAAAAAAAAAAAAAAAAAAAAAAAAAAATCCTTAAATTTACCGACTATCTATCACTTCTGGAGCGGCCAGAACGATAACATCTAAACTCAATCAATAACGTGTCAAGTGAAGGACGAGGAACACCCAGCTATGGACACATGGATGCATGAAGCAACTGCCCAAGACAGCGCAACAAAACAAAAAATTGCAATAAAAATATAAATTTAACCGACAACAGCGACCATGTGGATTGCGCTCTACGGATATTCCACGTGTCCTCCCCGGTACAACATGGACAGCTCCGGCTGCAACTCCGTAATGATGCCACGTCACAGTCTTCGAAAGTGCCCGCCACTGCGCTGATAACATCGGAGTACGATTGCGGTGGGTGGGAACTCGGCCCACGCACGGATGGGCATGCGTAGTGGACAGCTGCGATGGCGGTCGGTGGGAACTTGCCCCACGTGCGGACGGGCATGCCGAGTGGACAGTTCGGAACCAGCCACCGCTGCGCTGATAACATCGGAGTACGATGGCGGTGGGTGGGAACTCGCCCCACGCGCGGATGGGCATGCGTAGTGGACAGCTGCGGTGGCGGTCGGTAGGAACTTGCCGCGCGGATGGGCATGCGGAGTGGACAGTACGGCCTCGACTCCGGGGCACTTCCAACGCCAGCAGCCGCGGTAAGACGGGGGGGGCAAGTGTTATTCGGAATGACTAGGCGTAAAGGGCACGTAGGCGGTGAATTAGGCGCGAAGCGGTGAAAGTCGCCAGCTCAACTGGTGGAATGCCTTCAAATTCCGACTGTTCGCACACCCGGTACCCGGCGCACAACCTTCAAAAAGCCACACACACGGGCCCAGGTCGCTCCAAGCCGCCCCCCCGATGGACCTCAAAGACTTCCAGGAATTCGCAGGACCCGGAGGTGGGACCCGGGGGTGGCCACACAAAAGCGGCGGCGCTGTTGTGATACCTCCTTCGGCGGTACTGTGGGGTCCCGTTTCCTTCTTCGCCGGTACTGTGGGGTCCCGTTCCCGTTTCCTTCTTCGCCGGTACTGTGGGGTCCCGTTTTTGTTTTACGACCCTCATGGACCGGCTCCGACCTTTCGGGTTCTCTAAGGTTCTCTTACGTTTGAAGTACTGTCGGATCAGTAGCTAAGTTACCCGCTATTGACAGGTCATAGCAGGCTGTGATCCTTCACGAGTGCCCTCTAGACCTTTAGCGGCCTCAGCTGTCATGGCGCACAACACTTTCAGTCAGCCCATTACACGGAGTCGTCATTTATTTTCTCTCCTGATTTTGGTGAAGCCTCCCACCTGCCGTCCATATTCCAGCGGGCCTGCGGCCCACCTTCACGATCGCTTCTGTGCGATCAGGCACCATCTGGGGACTATTGCCATTTTATTGGATTGGAACTGTGCACTAAATGCACGAAAAGCGAAAAATATGGCAGTGTATACCTCTCTCGGCCTTTTGGCTAAGATCAAGTGTGGTATGTTTTCTGATCAGTGGTCCATCGGACTACACGATATCAAAATTTTTTTTCTGGGCCACGGAGGGAAAAACAAAGGGAAATGTTTCGAAATGACCCCTCCGACTTTTCCTTGCGGTATGCCCCTCTGACGGCCGGCTTACCCTGTAGTGCCCATCTGACGGCTGTGCCCCTCTTGAAGCGTTCAATAATCCCTGGGCCTGAAAAACGAAGCCTGACATATGTTCAATATGCCCCTACCGGTGCCAGTTACAAATTTCCAATATGCCCCGGTAGCTCCACTCCCAGGCCCAGGGGAACAGCCGCGAGTGCCACCAACGGCCACAGGGCCATGCTGGAACGTTGAACTCGTCACTGACAGGGGCCTGCAGGAAACCTTAGACGCCCCAGGGGCCCGACAGGGTAAGTCGGCCGTCTGAGGGGCATACGCCAAATTCATGGAAGTCGGAGGTGCATACTCCAAATTCATGGAGGTCGGAGGGGCATACGCCAAATTCATGGAAGTCGGAGGGGCATACGCCAAATGCATGGAATTCGGAGGGGCATTTCGAAAAAACAAGAAAAGAATGGCGGTGTATCTTTCCATGGTCTCATTTTGCACATTTGGTGAGTAGTGGTGCGAGGGCCTTAGGCAGGGGAGCAGAGGCTTGCTGCGTGCAAACGGGCGTGCGGAAGTGAAGTCTCTCTCTCTCTCCCTCTGTGTTCCTGCCATGCTGTGCCTGAAGGTGTGAAGAATTCCATCCACACTCGGCGCGAAAATGAAATAGGTGAGTCCGCCAGGCGTGGCGAAGTGCACCCTCCCTCCCTCCCTCCCTCTCTCTTCCCTCCC